ACCACGTCATAACACAAACACGTCCAACGTGGTGTTTATGGTCGGACAGTCCTGTAGCTCGGTGTACATTTTTCCTGGCCTTCGATCGCAAGAAGGGACCCACGCAACACGTAGTGGAGGGACGTCGTATGAGAGGTGTCGAAATAGTCCTTTGGGCATAATGAAGAGAGAGAGGGGAAGCGACGAGAGAGAGGGGGAAGCGACGAAGAGAGAGAGAGAGAGAGAGAGGAGGGGAGGCCATGTGCGTGGGATTCTGTATCACACCTCAACGTAATCCATTGCGACACCACCGCATTGACGAGGTCGGCAGGAGGAACACAAAACAAACAAAGGGGGACAGACACAAACAAACACACACGCACCACCACAGTGAGGACCGAGGGCCGAGTTGGAGGTGAGTGGTGACGACGTCGCACGTGGGAGGGGCTATGTGTGGACGGAAAGGTAGTTCGGGTAAAAGTTGGCTGTATAGTTGCCTCCGAGGTGTTTGGAAAGAGGCGGTCTAGCAGTTCATAGTCATAGAGCGCAGAGGGGAGTGCAGCCGTGGCATCACACCTCAACCGTAATCCATTGCGCTCTATGGGCCGACTATGTAACGCGTAATCAGACAATACTAGTCATAGTGTCCAGGACGGTCGATGCAATAGATATAATAGTTACGACGAAAGTGTGTGTGTCAATATGCGGAACCATATACTATCGATTGAAATGTTACCAGGTACACTACAATCATTGTACGAGACATCGATTGCGGGCCAGCATGAGTGGTTCTATCGACGGGTCAAGGGTGACCTTGGCAGTCTCAGTTACAAATAGGTGAAATACAATGTAAAACTACCGAAAAATACCAGCTCCTTAAAAGCCAACCGCTCTACTCAACGCAACTCTACTATACCCGCGGTCAGAGAGCGGAGATGTGTCCCCTGTGTGATGTAATATGACGCGTTTGACGTATGACCTTAAAAAAAAGCCTGCTTTTTAGAGCAGGATCTCAAAAATTGCTCCTTGTCCCTCTGAATTCCTGCCCTTATGTCTCGTAAAACATATCAAATCCTGCATTCACTTTTTTAATTGTAATTTTCAAGCAAGTTTAAGCATAAATGTAGAAAAAATAAAAACCTGCAAGATGCTCTATAAAACCTCCTCAATATAACCACTGTGCAAACTGCAGACGGCCCAAAGAAAAACAAAGTCATTCAGAATGTAGACCCAAATTATAGCATTGTGGTTCAATAGGGATCAGGATTAGAAAACCGGTTCATAATCCAAGTTGAAACAGTTTTCTCCCCTGTCATGCAACATTGTGACAGCATTGACTTCACAGAAGTTAGTTCATTTAATTATTCTACTTTTCAGGAGCAAATGATTTTAAATGTGAATAATACATTGGTTAATGATGATGAGTTCCTGAGTGCACCTCTTTCTGGCGGAGACTGGCACTGTCCTGCAGAGCCTGCTTGGACCTCCGCTTCTCCATCTCCAGACGGTCTATCAGAGGGGCACATACAAAAGTTCTGCTTGGCTTTATGTAAAAAAAGACTTTCTCCCTATGTATCTGTAAATAAGAAAGTGTGTGTGTTCTGTGGGTGTGTGATACCTTCTGCCTGTGCTAGCTGCAGCTTGAGCTCGGCGCTGCTGTTGGTCAGCTCCTGCTTCAGCTCAAAGACCTGCTGCTGCTGAGACTTACACCTGCGCTCCAGCTCCTCCACCTAACACACACCACAATCAGTCTCACAATCCTCAGACAACATACTGTGTTAAAGACACAATACTCTTACTTTATTCATCAGTTGGACTTTGGTGTCGGACAGGTTTTGGGTCTCTCTGCGCAGTTTGCCCTCTCTGAGTGCATTGTCCTACAGGATGGAAACACATGAAGTACATTTGTTACAGCAGACTCTTAATACACATTCATTTTTCATGCTGTATTACTGAGCAAATTGTGGTTGGAAACGGACACAAGTCATTGTCATTTTTGCTAAAATGAACTCTGACATGATCTTTTTCAGTGTTTTCTCCTTTTTCTACATGCTCCTGCCATATTAGGCTGCACATCGTTGACAAAGAGATGGAAATAGACTTCTGCCACACATATTTATAGTCAATATATGAATTGGATAATTGACACAAAGAAGCTATAAAATAAATCGATTTGTGGAAAAATAAGGAAATGCTTTCATTCCTATTGTCAGTGTTTTAGGGGTTCACTTTCATTCAAAATAAATCAAATCCAAGAAGAAATGTAATTTTAAAATGCTGCATTTCAAAATGTATTTATAATCTCACTTTGTGTTCCAAGTAAGCGCCTCAAAATCAGAAGGTCAGAAGTTCACTCCAGGCAAAGTATTTAACTCCATATTATCATTGTGTGTACATTGCTTTGAGAAAGTGTCATAAATGTGTCAGCTAAATAAAATGTAATGTTATGTAATGTGTTGTCACTGCCCTTTTATCAAATAACATGTCGACATCCTGTTAAGCAAACAACCTAAAGCTTTTGTTAATCTAAGATATCTTGTTTACACATAAACTATATCTCCTTTATTTATGGGAGCAAAGGCTGAGCATGCTACCTACTTAGCCGAAACACAGGAGACACAGCTACATCTAAAATCCTATCAGTGTGTGGCAGGGATCCATTTTAGGACGTCCTGTAAGAGATCATGCAAACTGTCATGTAGCATTTAACAGCACTACGTTAGCCGTTGCAATGCTAACTTCTTTGTTGGCCTGTGAAGGGAACTCTGTCATAGATGAATTGGCGAATTTGAGATACCTCAACATACGATCGACAAGCCCGTTACGTTTTTTCTCTCTGTTGGTTAAAGTATTCCCCTCTATACGGTCATGTGACCTTGATTTACCCTGTAGGGAACAGCCAGTGGAAAATGTATTTACCTCACTAAATTTAGAAGCACATGTGAAAGCTCTCATGAAAAAGTAACAGGCTAAAGCACACATGAAAAATATGGGAACATCTGTCAGAATCTCATATAAGGGGTCATCATCATCATCGTCGTCGTGCCATCTGTCCGCACCTCCTGCTCCTTTCTCCTCTCTCTGCTCTGTCGCTCCCTCTGTTCTTCTTTCTCAAACTTCACTCGTGTCAGCAGCTCTCCCAGGTTGTGGTACTTCTGCTCCGAGAGGGCGAGGGCAGCCTCCGTCATCTGTAGTCTGCACACCATCACACCATGCGTCAGAGTTACTGCATGTGCATTTGTGGATGAATACGAGCTAGAAAGCACTCTTAATAATACAGGCCCTATTTTTTAGGCTGCAGAACGAGATGTGTTGGTATCAGAGAGGTTGCAGTAAATCACAGGCGTTTTAGTGGAAACAGGGTTTATTATCGACAAGAGAAAACTACATTCTTAAAGCAAATGGGCAGCAATGCCTAAAGTGTAAACTGCTATTCAACCAGTAGATGTGTTAAACACTGAAAAATAAACAGTTAATGTGAAAGCAAAATCATTGTTAAACAAGATGTATTATTTATGTATCAATAAATGAATTGGAATGCTTCTTATAGTATCTAATGTCAGCAGCTCACAGTATTCAGTGTTTCCCCTAAGTTTACTGCTTTGGGGGGGTGCTGTCTGTGCCTGAGGGGGGGGGGGGTTTCTTAGGGTCAAAAACACTAAACTTAAAATGAAAGTGTTTAGTTTATATAATAAAAGAGCACATGTTCAATGTAAAAAGTGACAGTAGATAGATTAGTTGCAATTTGGTGCTATAAATATATATTATTAAAAAAAGAAAAAATGTAAATATAAAAAACAACAACAAAAAAAAACACCTTGAATTTCAGGGGGGTCGCGGGGCTCCGTTGGCGGGGCACAGCGCCCCTCCGAGACAATGGTAGGGGAAACACTGGTATTAAGAAACTTCTACTTCCATTCATTGAATCCCTGCAGCCGTCTGAAGGCTGCAAGACACAGATATATTTTTTTAAAGCTAAAGCTTCTGATTTGAATAAAGGGAAATGAAATGCTTACTTGGCAGTGAGGGAGTTGACAGCTGACTTCCTCTCATTCAGAGCTTCCTGGAGTTGGCCTACCTGAATGGAGGCAGACCTTATCAAACAGAAAAGAAGGGGAACAGGTCATGGATACAGAATGTGATCGCATCAGGATGATGTATCATGTGATGTATGTGGTTTAATCTCCTTTCCAGTGTCAATGTAAGGGCACTCATGTGGGTGTTGTTTCAGAACTAAAATGACAGCCGATGACCGGCACTCACCCACTGGAGCGTCCCATCTCCTCCCTCTGCCTGTCTATGGTTTCCATGAGGTTTAGGAACTAAAAGAGAGGAGAATTAACCACAGAAATCACTACTATAAATCAGCAATACTTCATTATACACTGAACAAAAATATAAACGCAACACTTTTGTTTTTGCTCCCATTTTTCATGAGATGAACTCAAAGATCTAAAACATTTTCTACATACACAAAATAACCATTTCTCTCAAATATTGTTCACAAATCTGAAAAAATCTGTGATAGTGAGCACTTCTCCTTTGCCGAGATAATCCATCCCACCTCACAGGTGTGGCATATCAAGATGCTGATTAGACAGCATGATTATTGCACAGGTGTGCCTTAGGCTGGCCACAATAAAAGGCCACTCTGAAACGTGCATTTTTGCTTTATTGGGGGGGTCTGGGGGGGTCCGAAAACCAGTCAGTATCTGGTGTGAGGGTTAGGATTAGGGTTAGGGTAATGTTGTGAATCGAGTGGCCTGTGTTCGTCGTCCATAACATACGCCTGCCCATACCATAACCCCACCACCACCATGGGCCACTCGATTCACAACATTACCCTAACCCTAATCCTAACCCTCACACCAGATACTGACTGGTTTTCGGACCCCCCCAGACCCCCCATGCAATAATCATGCTGTCTAATCAGCATCTTGATATGCCACACCTGTGAGGTGGGATGGATTATCTCGGCAAAGGAGAAGTGCTCACTAGCACAGATTTTTTCAGATTTGTGAAAAATATTTGAGAGAAATGGTTATTTTGTGTATGTAGAAAATGTTTTAGATCTTTGAGTTCATCTCATGAAAAATGGGAGCAAAAACAAAAGTGTTGCGTTTATATTTTTGTTCAGTGTAATACTTAGAATTAAAAGTGATTTTTCACCCAACATCTTTTGTGTACCAAAAAAAGTTTTTCAGGTTTCCCTTTTACAAATCGCAGAGTTATACTGTGCACATTTGTTCAATAAAACTCTTTCTACAGTGAAAAATATTTTTATTGAATACTACTAAGGAGGTCTTTCAATATCTAACAAGAATCTTTACTGAACTACAGTGCTGCTTTGAGCTAAAGTCAATGCTAAATGTCTACGTCCACATACTCAGATGACACAATCTGTGATTACATAAGGACCACAAAACAGCAAATACTGCCAAAGCAGCTAATGACAATGTCATTCGTTTTGCAAGCATTAGGCAGAGGGAAGGTCAGGGGGATATCATCATATGGGGACCATGGATGTTCCTAGAAAAAACATTTTCAATCAATCTTTTAGATGCAGAGGGGATCATCAATGCCAATAGTATGCATCTTCTTGGGAGCATGAACATCTGTACTAAATTAAAATGCCAATCTATTGTGAAAACACAATCATTAAGAGCATGGTGTTTTAAGATAAACTGGCAGAGGGTTGTCAAAATCAGGAGAATTCATCACGTGAGGAAAATGTATGTCTAAACTCATTTAATCCATCTAAATTCTGATCATTCTATCTGGAACAAAGAAGTGGATCAACTAACAGACCTTAAGACATTTTTGACAATGTGCATGGCCAGATACATTATGACACGTGTAGAATGTTTTTAATGTGGTTTCTTAAAAGTCTTAAAACAGTGTTCTTATTCTGAGTCATAATGATTTAACTGTTCAGTGTGGGGTTACCTGGCGCCCCTTCTCCTCCTTCAGAATCTGAATCTCCTTGCCGAGGACCTGCGTCCGGCTGCGGCTCTCTCTCAGGCCGCTCTGTCGATCTGAGTTGTGTCCTGAGGTCTGCTCTGAGAGGGTTCAACCACAGGGGCCACAGGGAGGGGAGAGAGAGAGAGAGAGAGAGAAGGCAGAGGAGGGTTTGCATGGTAACAGGTATCACTGGGGGATAATCATTAACACAATCAAATCAGGCCACATTAGTGTTAGAGCTTTCCTAGTAAGGAAAGGGGTAGAAAATCATCAAATTATAGCCATAGTATTGAAGTAAGAATACTTTTCTCTGAATATACTGTATATCAGATAACTGCTGTATATCTCAACACAAGCTGCCGTTATGTCGTATGTCTTATAAACTTAAGGATGTGATAACAAAGAAAGGCCCTATACGTTGTTATGTGTTGAGCCTCCAGTTGAAACAAAACAACATAATCTCATATTGAATAACTCCTTTAATATGAATCATACAATATTTTTTACCATAAAAAATGGTGGCGTCTGTATCCGTAACATTACTTAAATCACAAAAATGTTAAAGGATTACTATAGCTTTAAAAGAATACTTCACTCACAAAAGACCATTTGACATCAATTACTTTTCTTTACAACTTCAATGTAACAAAAATATGGTATTTTTTCTTGTATTCACTTGCTTCTGGAAGCCAGGCATAGATCAAACTGGGATAAAATCGTACAACTACTACACACACGTACAGACACATGTGCATAACCATGTACTGCGTCCACACACACACATGGATACACACACACGACCCCTTACCAAGTGCTTTGAGGGTGTCACTCGGTATGTTGTTCCCTGCCATCTCCAGCTGTGTGAGGCTCTTGTTCTGCTGCAGAGCCTCCAGCAGGGTCCGGCCGCCCAGCAGACCAACGTTGTTCCACCTCAAGTCTGAAAACAGGGAGGCACAAACACTCTGTCAGGAGATAGCTAACTTCAAATGAATACCAATATAAATAATGAAATAGCATGTTTTTTGGTAACTCAATAAATAAAAGAATAGTCTCTAAATAATATGACAACATTGTAAAGCATATTTTCTATACACCTGTGTGTATTACATACTTGAAAAAGTCCTTTTAAGAACGTTATGTGCAAAAGGAACTGTTAAAAGTAAGATTCTAGAGAAAAATAAATCTATATACAGTGGGGCGAAAAAGTATTTACGGTAGTCAGCCACCAATTGTGCAAGTTCTCCCACTTAAAAAGAGGAGAGGCCTGTTATTTTCATCTTAGGTATACCTCAACTATGAGAGACAAAATGAGGTCACCATTGAAAAAGAGGTCAATGATCTCAATGGGTTTTCACCTGAATAAATAAAGGTTTTGAATTTGAAGAAAAAAAAAAAAAAATCGAGAAAATCACATTGTCTGATTTTTAAAGAATTTATTTGCAAATTATGGTGGAAAATAAGTATTTGGTCAATAACAAAAGTTCATCTCAATACTTTGTTATATACCGTTTTTGGCAATGACAGAGGTCAAACGTTTTCTGTAAGTCTTCACAAGGTTTTCACACACTGTTGCTGGTATTTTGGCCCATTCCTCCATGCAGATCTCCTCTTAGAGCAGTAATGTTTTGGGGCTGTCGCTGGGCAACACGGACTTTCAACTCCCTCCGAAAGATTTTGTATGGGGTTGAGATCTGGAGACTGGCTAGGCCACTCCAGGACCTTGAAATGCTTCTTACGAAGCCACTCCTTCGTTGCCCGGGCGGTGTGTTTAGGATCATTGTCATGCTGAAAGACCCAGCCACGTTTCATCTTCAATGCCCTTGCTGATGGAAGGAGGTTGTCACTCAAAATCTCACGATACATGGCCCCATTCATTCTTTCCTTTACACGGATCAGTCGTCCTGGTCCCTTTGCAGAAAAACAGCCCCAAAGCATGATGTTTCCACCCCCATGTTTCACAGTAGGTATGGTGTTCTTTGGATGCAACTCAGCATTCTTTCTCCTCCAAACACGTCTAGTTGAGTTTTTACCAAAAAGTTCTATTTTGGTTTCATCTGACCATATGACATTCTCCCAATCCTCTTCTGGATCATCTAAATGCTCTCTAGCAAACTTCAGACGGGCCTGGACATGTACTGGCTTAAGCAGGGGGACAC